ACTGGTTATTAAGGTCGGGACAGGCCCTAACCCTTCACTGCCTCCTCCCTTTCATACCTACAGGAGAGCTAGTAATTGATGGTACGGCTCAGGATTAGGCGCCTCACCTATTTCATCTGATTGTGGTAAACAGGCGGACAAACATGATGTCGTGAACCATTTGCAGCTTCAAAGCGCGAGACGAAGCACTGGCAGTACGTTTGACCCACAACCTACACCTTCGGCAGCAAGCTCCGCCTTCCACTGTAGGCGCTGCGAGAAGGCGCTGCCGCAGTTCGGCGTGACAAGCCGGTAGGCGCCTGAGCAAGTGGAGCTAACCGTTCTCGAAACTCGTCCAAACACGCCCCTGCTACCCCTAATACAATGCGGACAAAAAAGAAGCGTCTTGTTCGGGATGTGGTCGGTTTTTTGCTTCCCTTTTTTTCCAGAACAGTATCTACACCCAGCTTCATGATTAAACGCTATTATACTCTAATCTTATGCCGAAGCTTGCCTTTAACTTGATACCTTTAACGCGAGAGCTAGGATTTACGGTTAGAGCTAGCATCAAAGCCGCCACAGAGATATAGATCATCAAGGTTCCTTGGTTTGCTATATGGGAAGCCGGAAGTAAAGAATCGCAGTAAAATTATCAAGTGACAGAAGACATACAAGAAAAAATCAGTAAAAACTCAGAAACCTTTCGGTGGTGGTTCCTCGAAATCTCCTGGCTGTGTAGGCTCCAACGCTGCCTCCGATGTAGGGCTCTGAACAAAACAGAATTAATCATCATCAACTACCTTGACCTTTCCCAAGAGACCATTTCAGGGTACTTCGAAAAAAGAGGACCTGGTTAAACAATATCCCTGACAAATCCCGTAGAAAATCAGTGATTGTTTTGGAACAGACAACAAAGGTTAGGACAAAAGGAAAATAAGGAATATACACGGACACACCGCCGCACGGGACTGTCGACTCTTCTGCTCCTTGTGCATCGCTTCAATCATTCGCTCTTCGCTTTCTTTGATTTTCTCCGCTTCTTCTACTTGTTGCAATGCCTTGCCCAAGTCGAGATCATGTCCTGTTGCCGCATACACCAACTGAAAGCTAATCCTCAGAGCTGACACTTACTATACTAAAGCTTGGTGATGGGTTATAATCAGCGATTCAGAACGATTATGAGTAGATGAGCGCTGTAGGGTAGATGTGAGTTTAGCGTTGAAAACAGGGGCACAAAATCAAGCTACAAAAATGGTCACGGTAGGAGCGCTATGAGCATAGCACTGATCACATCATCTTGCAACAGAAGGGTTCTGGGGGGACTGCAGAGTTTTGCCGCTGAACATATTCAGCATGAGTGCCTCGCCTCGCTTTATTGCAACAGTAGGGGCACACGCGACAGTTATCGGAAACTTTTCCAGCGCTCCAATATGACTAAATTTTATGCCTGCAAAGCGAGCATGGCGCAGCGATACGACGTCGGTTTTACAGTTACATCTAACTGTACGGCATCGAGGGCCACTCAGTATGTTCCTGATCACAAACCGGTTCGCTGCCCAACCTTTCCAATGCTCCGCGTTTGATGGTCGCATGACAGACGCGCCATCCTAGTATTTTTTTTTTCGGATCTTCAAAAGCAATAGCGCCTTATGACAAGGCAATCCGGGATTGCGATCGATTGGTTTGTTATGTTGTTCAAAAATTAGAAAAGAGCTGCAAAGGGGGCATCAATGGGCAAAAGCAAAAGCCACCATGAAAAGCACAAAGTCTTCTTTGTTGGGTCGACTGTGATACGACAGAGAGACACAGCGCCACGAGGAGAGGAAAGACGCGAAGATAGCGACGTCTGATACGTGAGAGGGTCACGGAACGGAGCCATGTAGCATACGGCGGCGGCCAATCTGGGAAGAAGGCCGCGGTTGCAGCGGTCAGCGGATACGTATCAGGCTCCCATTACTACTGCGCAACTGCGCACTTTCGACGTAGGTATATCCCGCTCCAACTGATTAAGGTCCCCTCACATGGAAGAGAGAATTTCCTGCTCAATTATAAATACTACCGCAATCGCGACACCCGTGCGCTTCAATCACTAATGGCCTTAAAATCACTGTAAGGCGTTCGCGAAAAGCTATTCGCGCGTTTACCGAGGGACTATTAATTCTGTCCAGTAATAATGCCGATCGACTGACCTTGGTATCTCCTGGCTGTCCATAATTAGTGCATCACTTTTGGGTATTTTTTGAATTCGAAATTTTTTCTTTTTCATATGGAGTCTCTGCTCATCCAAACATACATCCCTGTCATCTACAATGTATTGCCTATACAGGGAAATTTTGTCGCTGTCTTATCTCTAGAAATCCAGGAGCTATTGATCGAAGAAAGATCGGAAGTCGAGTTTGAGGTCATGTCACTTAGCGTAAAATTCCTCCCTGGGGAAGAGCGCTAGAGGTCAAACTGAGTTGCCTCTTGTTGGCACGAGGATAGGGCCACACAGAGGAAGTGGAAGATCGGCTAGCTTGAGAGTCTCTAATTTTTTATGAATATTCTCCGCAAGGTGGGTCGAACGACCTCAGGAAAAAAGCAGACTTTGTCTTGCTTTACTTTCAAATTGAATGCGCCGCCATTACGCTGTAGATGTTGATCTTCTTCAGTGACTCTAGTATTACTAGGCGGCGGTTCCCAGCGCATGGTCACTCTCGTGCTCCACCAATATCTCTGAAGGGTCGGACTAGAATGAGGTTTGGCTTTTGCTATCAGAACTCCCGAATCGTTCACGCTGGGCTACTGCTCCTCGGAGATTTGCTAGTACACTTCACGCAGTCCAGAACCCTGGTGAATAAGCTGGATGATCACTGTAAGGAACTAAGGGAGATCAGAAGGAACATGACGATGTCAGATCGTGTGCGGAGCTGTTTCGAGCTCAAAGCACACGAGATACAAATTAAATATTTTAAAATCGTTACAACTCTACGTAGATGTCTACATTCTATCATTTTAAAAGCCGGACATGCTCCATCAAATGGTGACAAGTTTGTCCAGATCCACCCTCAGTGGCGCTGGGTACAGCAGTGAGATTGCCACTTGAGGGGTAGTTGGAGTGTGGGTCATCTTCAACTCAAAAAGCCAACCTCTCGATAGAGTGAATTACAAGTAGACCGCGGATTGAGGGAGCGTGCCCTCGCCTATCCGCTGGTTGATTCTCTATGTTGTTGGGCGTTTGAAAGATCCTAATCAGAAGTGGTTAAGAGGGGAGCTCAAAAATAGGTTCCAGAAAAAATTGAAGTATCAGCCACGAAAGCATGTACATACATGGGCCGAGTAATCGCTCAGATAGGGTAATGTGGATGCTACTTCGCAAAATAAGTTTCATGCCTTCAACATTTTTCTTGGATTTTTAATAATAATAAATGTAATTCACTAATT